TATAATAATTCTTATTAAAGCTAGCAGCTTTTATACCTGTTATAATAGTAATAATTCCTTATAAACTATATAATATTTTAGGATATTTTGTCCTAATAATATTCCTATTATAATAGCTTAAAGGTTATATTTTTCCTAAAATAGCCTACTAAGAAAAAGTTATATACGCGTTATATTAAGGTTATTATAAGTAGCTTTTACTTTAGGACCTAAGTATAGCCCTAAAATAATAGTATATTATATATAAAAAGAGTATAATTTATAATTTACTTATAAGTATTTATGTTTTAAGGGAACTTATAAGTATTCTCTTAGATAGCCTTAATATAATATATTATTACCTTATTATATAAAATACCTTAGTTTTATAAGCTTTATAAATATAAGTTATTAAAAATCTTTCTTTTTAAGGGAAGCCTAATTATCTTACTTATTTCTTCCTAATTATTTCTATATTATAGCTAGTTATTAAGCAATAAAAGCTATATATTTATAGGTTATATAATACTACTAAAATAAGGTAATAATAGGTTCTTATTTTAATCTTATTTAAAAAATATATTTAGGTATTATACTTATAAGCTAGGTTTATACTAAAGGTAGAAATTAAATAGGGATAATATTTTAGCCTATTATATTTAATATTTTAATATTTTTTTTAATGCTATAAAATATTCTAGGTTTTTATAGTTAATAAAAATTATAAATAGGTTAATAATACTTTAAAGTTCTATTAACCATGATTTTAGATAAGAGATAATTACTAGTAATTTCTTATTATAAATTATATAGTTTCTTTTTAGGGCTATCAGCCTTATAAAGTAGTATACTACTAGGTAAAGCACCCTATTAATAACCTATAATAAGTATCCCCCTAAAGTATTAACTAAGTAATCCGCTTTAATTATTATCTCCTTAATAAGGTCCTATTATCTTAAAACTAAGTAAAAAATAAATACTCTTTTTAGTGCCTTAAAAGCCTTATTATACTTAGCTAATTATTAAAAGAATATACTTTTTTTTAATAGCCCTAGAAGTAATCTTATAAAGAAAAAGAAGTTTAAGATAAAATCCTAATAAAAATTAATAAAACCTAAAAATTCTTAGACTTTTTTTTTATATATTAAGAGTTTTTAGCTTTATATAGCCTTAATTTTTTCTAGGTTAAAGTAAATTTCTTTGCTTATATAAATAATAAACCCTAGGTATTTAACTTTTTAGACGTAAAATACATACTTTTTTATATTAAGGTATAGCTTAGTTATATAAAGCCTTATAAGTATATTATATACCTTTTATATATAATTTTTTTATAAGCTTTTTAAGTAAATAAGAATATTATTAAGGTATATTATAATAAAATTACCTAGAGTTCTCCTTAAAGTATTATTAATATATTATTAAAATATTATAAAAGCACTTACTAACCTAAATAAGTAAACCAGCTACTTAAAAAGCCTAAATTAAGTTTAAAACACGGTTAAAAGCTTTTTATCTAGTATAATCCAGAGTTTATAAAATATTAACCAGATATCTAGTTTTATAAATTACTTAACCTTAAAGAGGGAATATAATATTTTCTTAATAAGTAAGAGTAAGTAATAGTTTTATTTTATTATTTTATTTAAAGCATAATAATCTATATAAAACTACTATTTTCCTCCTAGCTTCTTAGCTAGTAATACTAGAGCTATAACTAATAAAAAGCTTACCCTGATTTATCCCTTATTTATTAGGTTTATAACCTGCTTTTTAATCTCTAATAAATATTCTTATAGCATATTATAAAGTAGTGCTTATAGCAAGTCTAGGTTAGTCTTATCTAGATACTGCCTTAATTATATATAGTAGTTTAGCTAGCCTTAATATAAGGGCAGCTTATTTACCTTTTCTTAGTCAAAAAGGTCCTAAAAGTCCTGTAAGTTATAGGGAAGTTAGGGTAGCTTCTCCTGCTATTAGTCTAGGTTAGCCCTTTATATATATAATATTAATATTATTTTATGTAAGCTTATAGCTATTAACTAATACTTCTTCTTTATTTTTTAGGCTTATTAAATAATACTAGTAAATATTAACCCTATTACTAATACTATAAGCTTTTAGGTCCCCTGATTACTTAACCCCTAAATTACTAAGTTATTTATAGTACTAATTATAATTTCTTTCCTAGCTAGCCGCATACTTATATTATACTATATTATCTATAATATTTCTAGTATAATATCCTATATAAAGCCTAGTATTATATATATTATTACTAGAGATTCCTAGCTATCTATATTTACCCTAAACTATACTAAGTAAAAGATTAAGGAATATAACTTTTATTATACTACCCCTTTTTTTCTTATCTCTATTATAATATATATTTATTACTATTTACTTAATAGGACTAGGTTTAGTTTTATATACTATATAAATTTTTTGCTTATTACTATATAATAATTATAACTTATATCTACTTAGGTATTTATAAACTTTAAAGAGTTAATTAATATAAAAACTAAAAAAGGTAATATATTTATTTTTAACCTAATCTCCTTTAATTCTTATTTTTTATATAATATATCCCCTAATTTATAACTATTATTATATTATAATGCCCCTAATAAGAGACTTATTATAAAAGTATTTTATTTCCTAATAGCTTTTTATTTTTATTTATATTAAAAATAAAATTCTTTATTATTATCTTTTTTATATTAAATACTTATAAGTATTATATAAAAAGAAATATATACTTTAAAATATAATAGCTTATAAATTTATAATATAAGTATTTTTCTTCCTTATATTATTAATTAATCATATTAATTAATATCTAATAAGCTTATTTCTTTTATTAGTTTTAAGAGTAATTATAACCTATACTTTTTCTAGGCCTGGCTTAAAACCCTAATTTACTCACGTTTATTATAATTATATTTTTATTATTATATTACTTCCCCTTAAGGTTTATATTATATTTACCCTACTTATTATAAAATTTCTCCTTTAATTATAATAATTTAATATCTATAATTATATTATAAAGGTAAGCTATCGCCTTAGTATATTTAAAACATAATATCTCCTAATTAATAATTCCTTCTTATATATATTTATTAAGAAATTATTATAGTTTTATTAACTTAATAAAGTTCTTTTATTTAAGGCCTTTTATTTAAGGCTTTTAATAAATATAATTTTATTTTTAAATTAAATAAAAAAGTTTATAAATAATTTATTTTATTATTATTTTATTTAATTAAGCTTAATAAAAGCTATTTTCTTCTTATAAAGGTTAATATATATAATAGCTAAGTAGCCTAGAAATATAGCTAGGTTATAGCTAACCCTTCTACTATCTTTAAAGTAAGAAGCTACCTAGCCCTAAACCTTAGCTAAAAGGTTCTAAAAAATAAAGGCCTATTAATTATAATTATTACCTATAAATATTATATTTATAATTAGCTTATATTATATTAGGCTTTTTTAGGCTATAAATATAGTTTTATTATTATTAAATAAAGCTCTTATTAGAATTAGTTTATACTTTATTTAGGGGCTAATATAAGCTAGTATTATTATTATAAGAGAACTTTATATTATTTAATTTTTAAGGAAAAGGTATTATTTAGTAAGCTTATAAAGCTTTTATGCCTAGGTAGTAATAACTTCTTAAAGCATTATAATATTACTTTAAGGGTTGCTAGCTAGTATAATATCCCTAGGTATAAGCAAGCCTGGTTCTATACTAGCTATTTATTTTATAAGGTTATTTATAATAAAGTTTATTCTTTATAATAAACTAGCTATACTTATAGCTATATATATATATTATTAAATAATAAGAATAAACTTAAAGAAAAGAGAAAAAAGAAAAAAAAAAGGTTTTATCTTCTTTTTTTTTTACTTAATATACCTTATTTTAGCTTAAAGTTTATTTATATTAGGTCTAGTCTAGCTTTACTTAGGGTTTTACCTAAACCTTAAGGTTTTTAGTAGCCTAAAGTTTATTTATACTAGGTCTAGGCCGGCTCCGCTTAGAATCCTACCTAGACCCAAGCCTCCAGCTCAAGTCCATAATACTACTACTTATTTGCATTTTATAACAACTTAAAGCAACGCTTAATTAAAGCAAGCTGCTTAGGTTTACTACTTTTTAATATAAGCTTTTGCTAATAATACACAGCGAAGAACCTAATAAAGCTTAGTATATTTGATATATTACTGTATTTATAAAGTACTTATTTATTTATATTTATACTTGGCAGATACTGAAATTACGAAATTTAGTATATTGATTAAATTATTACGCTAAGCCTTTTTAACTTTATTTATACTAATATTTAGTAGCCGCTAATAAAAAGAAATCTCGTATATTAATTATATTATTATACTCGCTTTTTACTGTTTTATTTATACTAAAACAAGGCAGTAATAGATAACTAAGAGCGCTAAGAGGCCTTAAAAGAGGCCTCTAAAGAAGCAGCTAAAAAGGCTATAGAAAAGGACAAGGAAATTATTAGGCTTAAAGCAGCGAATAATCGTATGGAATAACATATTTGGGATAAAGATAATATACGACAGCAACAAAGCAAGCTTATACAACGGCTACTAGATAAGCTTCAAGTAGCTCAAGGGGGAGTTGGTAGCTCTTATAATAATTGGGGATAGCTTTAAGCTTGTTATAAATTTCCCTCCCCATGTCACGTAAATACTAATATGTCCCCTGACACATGCAAGCAAAATGGCATTAATTGATGTAGCAATTTTCTCGCTGTAGGGTAGGAGAGCCCTGGAAACCCTGGAAACCCTGGACGGGGTCCACACCGCACACCGCCCCGCTTATGCAATTTAGCGATTTTTTTTTTCTGAATTTTTTTTTTCACCCATAAATAGCCATCCTCATCTTGTGAGAAGAAATCTTGTCCATCACAGTTGACAATTCGCCTCCTCCCCCGGGCACCAAACATGCCGTGACGCATTGACTCATTGTATGCCTCATCCCGGGGCCAATGCACCTTCTTCTCATCCGTCATGGCGAAAGCGTCGACAATGCAGCCGGCCTCTACGGCGGCTCTCGCGACGCTGGCTTGACCGCTCACGGTGCCCTGCAAGCCCAGCGACTGGCGTCGAGCCTGGCCGCGTCCAAGTTGCACGTCAGGCACATCTTCTCGTCCAACCTGGGCCGAGCGGCCAAGACGGCCAACGCCGTATGCGACTCTCAGAACAAGACGCACCAGTCGGCGCTGGCCGTCGTCCAACTGGCCGAGCTTCGAGAGAAACATTTCGGCAACTGGGAGGGCGTCAAGTTTGCATCTGCATCCGCCCAACACAGACCAGAGCAGACGGGTGCCGAGACGACAGAGTCGCTCCAGGCGAGGTGCAGTGCCTTCTTGGAGACGTACCTCGCTCCCCTCTTCACCGCCCGCATGGTCGGGCCCGAGGAGAACTGCGTGGTTGTCGTTGGCCACGGCATCAGTCTGGGAGTGCTGCTGCTGGCTCTGGCCAAGAAGCTCACCAGCACGGGCGCCACTCGTGATGCCTCCAAGGACGCCGCCTTGAACCAGCTCGCTTCTACGAGGATATCCTGGAGCAACACGGGCTACGCGGATCTTGTCATCTCGAAATCCAATGCCGCAGCTGAGGTCGCAGCCCGCGGCAACCCATGGTCTGGACTCGAGCTCCGTGTCGCGCAGATCAATTGCACCACGCACCTCTCGGGACTTCGTAAGACGCGTGGCGGCATCGGCAGCGCCGCCCACGACGAGAAACAAAAGACCATCGAGGGTTACTTCGCCTCTTCGCGGAAACGCAAGGCAGACAAGGTAACCGACTGATGCACCACGTTTTTTTCACAAAGGTAAATACCACTCTTTCCCTCCCCTGTTCATTGCAGTTACAAGGTGCAGGCGTCGCCTGACGCTTTATATGATGAGAACGCAATTTATTCACAGACCTGTTCTGAAAAATAATGTGGAAACAACTTGTCCAACCGCTGTCTGATATGCACTATACTGCCGTTCCCAATTTGGTCTTTGCTTGCGTCACAACATGCCTGATGTGCTCTGCTAACATGGCACCCAAGTCTAGTCTTTTTTTAGAGCGACCCTACCCCAGCCATGTCGACACCTCCAAATGGCCACAATTTTGTTTCGTCTCCCGTAGCTTCGTAGTTTTGCCAAGTGTTTCAAACAGTTTTACGTGTGCATACATGTTACATACATTCGACATAATCATGGTGTGTGATGTGTGACGACAATGAAAAACAGTACGAGTTTGGGAATCTCTCCGAGTGTGGGCGAGACTTGAAAGAAAGCCTACATTTTATTTCTAGTCTACAACACATCTCCATCATACATCCGTGCTGTCTTCATCTTTGCCCGTGAATACCTTGTACATTCGCCGACTGATGGCTTGCCCCAGTGTCCGGTCCGACACGGCGCCGTCCTTGTTGGCGCTCTTCCTCACGGAATCAAGCCTCTCCGGACCACCGCGTTCCAGCCCCTGCACCAACTTTGTAATACTGTCAAACTCGGCCGCAATGCCATACGCGATGGGCGCAGTGACCCGCACAACCTGTTGCAACGTCCTCACGTACGTGTCGTGGGCACTGTCCCCGGTTCGCACTTGACCGCTCTCCATGCAAAAGCCGGCGACGGAAGTTGCCTGATCCCGCTGCATCCTGTACGGGATCGTGGAGACGTGCTGCGTAAAGTTGATTACCCACCTAGCCGTGTCTATGGCAACGGCCGTATGGTGAATGAGCATCCCGTGCTCGACTTGAAGGGCCAGCATGGCATCTTCAACAGTGTCCTCCGAGATATACTCAGCGTTGTTGGTGCGCGACGAGGAGGATGCGGCCGCGCCCGTGGATCGAACACCAGAGGCAAAATGTCGGTTTCGGTTGTTGCGATTCTGGCGGAGCCACGGCGTCATGCCCTGAACAAGGTACACAAACTTCATGCTGCCGTGATGCGTCTTGATATCGGCGACATGACTTGCCAGCAAGTCACCCAGCGCCATGGCAACAACTTCTTCAGCTGTAACGATTATCATGGCAATTTCCTCGTCGACAATCTTTGCTGGCACTGGCTCCCATAAGCCAATATCATCGTTGTATTTGCTCGTCACCTTCCTCCGCCACTTGATGATGCTGTGTTTGGGGCAATCCCAAGTTGCATGGTCCACGCCAAGGCCTTGCAACATCTCTTGGACTTGAATTCGCAGCTCTGAGCTGAGGCCAGAAGGTAAATCTACAATCATTTCCGGGGTCGATACTTTCTTGTCGGTGCGAAGCTTATTTACTTCCACCAGAGCAGCGGCCCGTTGTTTCTCTGCGGCTTTCGCAGCCTTGGCTTCCTCTCTCTCCAGTCGCTTCTTCGTCTTCTCGACCTCTCGCTCATGGGCTGTCTTTTGTGGCTTCACCCTTTTTGTGGATGTAGCCGAGTAGCAAGTCCTAGACTTGGACCATGTCAAGTCGCTCTGCGACCGTCGCAATGGCGATCGAGCACGGCGCTTTGAGACATCCATGTCTGAGATGGCTGGTAATGCGTCATTGGCATCATCACTCAACGAGTCAGAATCATCAATAGTGATTAGGTCTTCCAAGACTACGGGTTCATTGGCCCATCTAGGCAGTTGGGGGTCAGCGAATAAGCTGGTGTCGACATCCTCATGCACTTCGATTGCGGACTGTCGGGAAATTCCAGCTTGCCAGCGTAGCCCATCTCTTCCTTTGCCATATTCCGTGGCCGTGTTCCGACTTCGAGATGTAGTCAGCGATGGTGGAGGTGAGCTGCAAAAGGGGTCAAGAGACACAGCCCTCTTGCTAGCAAGTGGTCTCCCGGGCAGAGGATGGGGAGAGCTGGCGAAGGGGTCAGAGCTGAAGCACGAAATTGCGTCTTCGCATGTTGAATTTCCAATAGCCTTTTTAGCAACAGATGTCTGCGATGGCAGTCCTTTATCGATTTGTTCTTTAGCCGGCGAAACCGGCTCCAAGGAGCTTGTAAACTCAATGGGATCCCATACTGTTGGGTTCTGATAGCGACTCGTCTGCTCTTTTAGCGGCAACGGGGGTTTCGACGAGATTGCAGTGGTGAGTTTGTCGCAGTTGGTTTGCGCGTCACCCGGTCCTGTTGTCCTTTTGCGTTTGGCTTGCCGATCATCCAGTACATCAAATACATCGTCGTCAAGGTCGTCAAAGTCGTCGATATCATCACGGCGTTTTGCTGGCTGTTGCACGCAGGCCGATGGTCTGGAGGTGGTTGTTCGCACAGGGCTGGATGAGATTAGGTCGATTACATCCGAGGCCATTTTCATGGCATGGGGTCTTTAGGCAATTGCCATTCCAAGGCATATAGGGAGCCGTATTTGTGAACAGCTTGGGCACCGTAGCTCTGGAGACGCGGTGATTGATTCGGCCACGACACTTGACGCGTTGGGCAACAGCGCGCATCGCCAAGGACACGCGCTGGTCACGTGAGCCTGCCGTGATGTACAGGCAGAGAAACGCAGAACACGACTTGGTCGGCTTCCCCACAACACCAGACTGAGTCAACGCGCTTCAAGCTGGCATTTCACAGACTGCTCAGTTTGCCGTACAAACTCTCATGCCTCCCCTTGAATCTTGCTAGGTGGTCTGTACCGTTGCACTTCTAAAGGGATGGACGCCATGCTGGCGCACGGGCTTCCACAACAGTGCCTTGTCACGTCCGAGCGCCATCCACATGTGCACTTGTAGTGGCAACCACACTCGCCCAAGCAAACCCAGACGTTAGTGAACTCGGATTATTATTTCCCTCATGTTTGACCTTCACGTGGTGAATCGGGTGTCTCTATTTCTACTACCTACTTGAGCACCTACCTATATGTGTAGTCATCCGACCGACACTTCCTATGTATATATGCGGCTTTTCAAGAACCAGTCGTTATCTCAAAATTCCCTCTTCACCATCAAGCAACGTCCTTGAGCGTGCATGTACAATGACGGCTTTTCAATCTCTCAAGTCTGTCGTTGCGAAGAGCCTTCGAGCCTCACAGTGGCGTTGGTGGTCGTTTCATCGAGCGCCCGCGTCCATCAAGAAGCCGGTTCCCCCATACGTATCCCTGCTGACAGGCGGTAGTAACCGTGAATCACACAACAGATAATTTGTTTGCAAGTAGTGTGCGGAGTAACTGACCTAGTCAGAGACACACACATGTGTACATGACAACTGCAGACTAGCTGTGTCTTGAGCTGTGTGTGACCTACCCTAGACGCTAGACCCATTGACATTTATCCTTTTTGCAGTGAGTAGTTACTAGGTCTACTCGAGCGTGATGCGGCTACTCGTACTCCTCTCCGGACATATGCGATTATGTATAGCGTCGAGTTGATATGTGATGTGTAGAACGGCGATGGAATGACCCACAGCTATGTTTTGGCATCTGTGGATGAACATATACCATTGTGCGCCCCTGGGTGATACGGGGTATTTTGGTCACATTTTTTATAAGTCCTATGCTCCTTTTGCTTTCGTTTCCCTCACTCCGTCTCCGCTAAATTTGGCCGTGCTTTAGTCGGCGATTGGCGATTGACTATCAGACTGGGTCAGACAAGTACGGAGTAAGTCGCGGCGGATTCGTATTTTCATGTCTGCTTTTTTGACTGCTCCAGGGGTGCGGAGAAATGGAAGTTGCCAGGTTTACTCAACTTGATGTACGTATTGTATGGTTCCTGCTTGGCCAACAGGCACCCTTTTGATCCAGACTTTCACCGGGCCATGGTTTAATGACAAGTCGCCGAATGCCCCGTACTGATCTGATACCGCCTCGGGTATCGCAAGTGTCGGTGAAATGTGTCAGTTTTTGAATGACGCATACTATTTTGCCGAGCAGGGAGCGCTCCGCAGCCGTCGCCAAATCCCCATCGCCGGCTCAATGAATAGGGATACTAGTACTAGTAGTAGTTAATTGGAACAAATTCCGAGACAGGTTGCGATATTTAGAGCATTGAACTCTGTCTCGCATTTTTGAGACTTTTTATGTCTCTCTGCTGATTTCTATTCGGATCAGAGAGGGAGAGGCGGGTGGCGGAGAGAGAACAATGCCGCCTTTCTTCCAAGTAGGTACAAGGTCTCGCTCCCGAAGTCGCGCCCAACCAAGATGCCGTGTGTTAGTGCAGCGTCCAATATGAGAAATGGCCTCGGAGCAGCACAAACGTATGCTGACGGAGTACTGCTTGGTCAAGGCTGGCGGAGGTCTGTAAATTGTGATATTTCCCCCCACGCTGTCCGGCTATGCTCGTGATTTTGTTAGAAGCGCTCTGTACCGTCACGTCCAGAATGCTGGGTTGTGTCCGTTGATTTCCAAAAGATCGACGGCCTGTTCTAGTAGTATTGTAAGGCGGGCGTTGCAGACGGCCAGTTGTAGTACCATGAGACATGGCTGACCAAGTGTCTTAGATGCAATGATTGGCAACGAGTCAGAATTTCCTATTCGGACCCAGTACGGAGTTCTCGGTACGATGTCTTCTATGGGATTCTGTAGCGAGCAGCTGAAGCAACTGCCAAGCAAAGTGCACGTTGCGTAGACCTTTGACACAGGATGTTCAACCGCCTGGGGACAAGGTATTCGGTATCTTGCGCAATACTAACATGGCACTGGGAGTTTGGAGTTCAACCCGCAAGCATGTACGGTGTAGCCTTGATGAGCTCTTTCTCAGAAATGTGAGCAATCAGGCGTCCGCTCTGAGAGAAAACCAACCAACCACCTTGTCACCTTGTCGTGGACGGACGGACTCGTCAAAGCGGAACGCCAGCATCCCAGTAGGTGAACTGAACTACAACAGCAAGAGCAAGTTGTACATCCCAGACATCCCCAAACTCTGAACGCGTCTTTATTCTTTTTTTCTCGCGAATCCTCGCCGGCTGGTTCGGGGTGGGCTCCTGGTGGCTTGTGATGGCGGCTCTGATTGTCCAGCTCCAACTAGCCTCTCAGGGGTGCCCGAGTAGATTGCTCAAGCTGTCAATGGTATCAGGGTCACTTGCATCGTTCTTCTGTTTACTATCAGTTCTTGCCTGGTCGCCGGCGTGGCCTGCAGCAAACCAGACCCGGGCGCTAGGACGTTGACTTACCCACTCGGCCTTCAGACAGTCTTGGCCTGTTGAAGATTCTCCTTCGGATGGTGAGCAAAACAAAGAGGGCATCTTGTGGCCTCGGGAGCATGGCAGGGGTCTTCTCGCGCCACTGCATTGTCCCTGCTGGAAAACTCTTCCAATGTTGCCTGTACTCCATACACTCCATACAATTGTCCGCTAGGCGATGTGCACGGTACGCCGCCGCACCAGGCACACCAGACCATCAGGAATTAAATACTATCCATCACGGACGGACAGAGTTTGGGACAGGACCCTGCCGTATGTCTGCCCCCAGCGGCGCCACACCAATTGAACCAATTGATGGCGAACTCTGCAAAGCCACCAACCCACAACACACATCGCAGCCAACCAGCACTTCCATCTTCAGCTCTTCAGGCTCCAGCCAACCACCATGGTCGAGCTTCAGGAGCAAGAGAAGAAGAAGACTTTCAATCATGCTCCAGAGTTGTTCACCACAAACAGCCACCACCATTTTTTTTTTGGACATGCTGGCCGTTGCCGCGCCCCTGAAACTTTGGGGCTCGGCCTGTCATGCGGTGCTCGCATGGCCCCCTTTTTGCCTTCTAACTTCCTCCGTACACAGAAGCAGTAATAGACGCTACTTAGGGGTCGTGTACCGACAACCGACAACCGAATCCGGAGTCCAGACGCCGACACGAAATCACGCTACAAGCGTACATACGGAGTAGTATTGTATAGTGGCGGCCGATGGGGCGAGTTTGCCGCTGAATCAGACGAGAGACATGACGGAAGTGACAGAGGAATTGGGGATCAGACCTTGTGTTCTCCTGTATCTGGCCATTCGTACCCTGTGGCGAATCCCTGCAAGCTGTCAAGGTGTCAAGGGGTTTGACCACCCAGTAAAGTAGGGTGTGCCTGCCGCGTACTCCGTACTCCGTAGTGTTTGTTTATGTTGCAGTTTGTTGTTGCATTGTAGACTCAGGAGCAGCAAGTAGCAAGCTGCACGACGTATTCCGGACAAAGTCTGGAGTAGCAAGTACGGCTCCCGTTTTTGAGAAACGAACCCAAGCGCCGATATCATGGCGGCGCGTCCATGCTTAGGCTTTTCACCCAATGCTTCAACCATCAGTGCACATCGACCGAGCATGTAACCTTGGTTATATGCAGTATGAACTCGGTTGCACATTCATGTGCAGTTGCAATGCGAGACGTGATGATGTGGAACACGGATCTGTAATATGTATGTGCCCAAGTACGGAGTACAGAGTAGTAAATTCGGCCACGACTGGTCATCATGTGCCCTCTGCCATTTCGCCAGGCGGACCGGACAGTATGACAAATGTGTCGACGACGCTCTTCGGGGTACGTAGCTTGCCATGTTTCGACGACTCTCGAGTTCCCTTGCCGCGTGGGCCTGGGACCTTTGGGACTCCACCCGGTTGCAAGTCAAAGCATCTCGCCACACTTGTTCGTCTTGCTCAAATTGCACGTAGTACAACGACTAGGTGCCTATTAGGTCGATAGGTACGGAACTCCGTAGGCACCTAACGTACTCCGTACTAGACCACGTATGCAGGTACCAGCCTTTACACAGAGTGCTCCGTGTACAATTGTACAATATGGACAGAATCTGGTGACGAGTGTCCAAACGTCCAAGGGGCCCCATCTTTGAGCAAACTTGTAACCCATGCCATGCTGCCATGTTAGCCGGGTACCTAGGCGCATAAGCCGGGACTGGGACTGACGGGATGGCAAACTGGCTTCCCGGACCTTGGCTGCCGCTCCAGCACGGCCCCAGACAGCCAGTCGTTATGGTCTACCTGAAGCGAATGAAGCACTCATGTCGACAGTAGTACCTTGGTGTCGCTGGCCGTGGAGCGGTTGAGCGGGTTTATTGGGGGAATATCTGGACATGGGAGGCATTGATGGAGGGGAGGCGGGGCCTCGCTTTTTTCCGTGTCCAGGCTCGACGGACCATACATGTGCAGGCTCGTCGTCAGTTGCCAGTTTAAGCCAGTTGGTCGCCAGCTGCCACCGGCCAGCCGCCGGCCAGCCAAGTGTTTAATTAGTCACTGGCAGCTCCTCAAGCCCGAGTGTCTTGTGCAAGCATCCAGTCTGGTGTTCCTGGACCCTGGTCGTTGCCAGCCTTCCCAGGTCCCAGGTCCCAGGTCCCAGTCCCCAGTCGCCGCCCGTCGCTCGCCGCTCGACGCCCTC